TTATATGAATGAAACAATCTCCTAGGCTGGGCGCAGTGGCTCACGCCTGTAATCCCAGCACTTTGGGAGGCTGAATCGAATGGATCACTTGAGGTCAGGAGTTCGAGACCAGCCTGGCTAACACAGTGAAACCCTGTTTCTATTAAAAATACAAAAAATTAGCCGGGCGTGGTGGCGGGCACCTATAATCCCGGCTACTCGGGAGACTGAGGCAGGAGAATTGCTTGAACCCGGGAGGTGGAGGTTGCAGTGAGCCGAGATCACGCCACTTCACTCCAGCCGGACGAAAGAATGAAAGGGTGGAGGTTGCAGTGAGCCCAGATCACGCCACTTCACTCCAGCGTGGGCAAAAGAGCGAAACTCCATCTCAAAAACCAAAAACAAAAACAAAAAACAATCTCCTAGGCGTCTAGAGGGGGACTAGGGATGGACCGTCCTTGGGAGAATTAAGAAAACTCACTGCAGTCATCACCTGCCCCTCGGGGGTCCGGGTGGGGAGCCTTGGTGGCTTCGTGGCAGTGCTGGTGTGTGCCGGCCTTCAGCCAGGCTGTGGGTTACGTTTGCATCAGGCCAAGGCCCAGCTCAAACGCCGCCTTCCTCAGGAAGACCTTATGGATTCCCCTGAGTTAGAATTCACCTTTCTCCACCGCAGTTCTCTGCAGCTGCCTCACGCAAGCGCCCCTTAGGCCTCGTATTTAAATTCCTCGGGGATCTACCGCTGAGCCCGCGTGTCTGTCTTGTCAGGAAGACAGGGACCAAGCGGACGTTATTTCCTCAGCTCCTGGCAGGCAGAAAAATGAGTGAATGTCTGCTGAATTGGTGTGAGGAAACTGAGTTGGTTTTTTTTTCCGCTCTTTAAGAGAATGTCATCTGCTCTGTTAACAGCCTCCCTCTCCAAACATTCAGTGTGATGACCCTCAGCCGGTTGCTTCTGTCCTGGTCATGACCTGCAGGATTGGTCACCCCGTCCTCAGGAGGTCGTCTGTGAGTCGGTTTGGATGGATTCGCTCTTCCCGCCACCTGCAGTTGGCATCTTCTGATCTTAGTCTCATTTGAATCCCTCGGTTCCAGCTTTGCGCTTCCCTTCACTGCAGTCAGTCCGTCCTCAGCGGCGCCTACAGTGGCTGAGTTGGCTCTGAAAGGAGGGGGTGATGGGGACGAGAGCTTTCCAGTACTAGATGTGTGAGCCACCGTGCCCGGCCAAGACCAAAAGTCATTAACCCTGAGCTGTCACTGATCATCTCTGCTGTGGGAAATTTCTGAAGTGGCTTCTTCAACTGTAAAAGGGGAATGAGGCCGCCTGCCCTGCTTACTCCATATTTGTATTTGAGGCTTAAATGAAATAACGGGGCTGGGCGCGGTGGTTCACGCCTCTAATCCCAGCACTTTGGGAGGCCGAGGTGGGTGGATCGCTTGAGGTCAGGAGTTTGAGACCAGCCTGGCCAACATGGAGAAACCCCGTCTCTACTAAAAATACAAAATTAGCCAGGCATGGTTGTGCATGCCTGTAGTCCCAGCTACTCGGGAGGCTGAGGCAGGAGAATCGCTTGAACCCGGGAGGCAGACGTTGCAGTGAGCCGAGATCACGTCACTGCACTCCAGCCTGGGTGACAGAGCGAGACTCCGTCTCAAAAAAAAAAGAGAGAAAGAATAGAATGGAAACATGCTGTGTTACAAAAATGTGAGGAATGTGAAAATCTGAGGAAT